CTCTGAGTTGAGGAAGTCAAAATGTGAACTAAAAAGAATTTACTTTCCACAAGCAAGGAAAGTAATGAAATTAAATTCTGTGTTAATGAAAAAAATAATTGAAAAAGCAAGTCTTTAGAAGCCACAAAGCAAATCAATCCCTGATTTACCCCATCAGCTTAAGTTACGTGAGTGTTAATTTGGCCATCAACATGCAAGGTGATGTTAAACACACACATTAAAGATACTATTAAAAAAAGAGGTCTATCCTTCTCAGATGAACTGTTATAAGTGATACAGCTTCATGGTAGAAAAGTATTGCTCTAGAAGCAGGTACTAAAATGGGAGTTCATATTGTGGTGCTCACCTACATATCAGTGAATTAAAAGTGGATTGCACTGTCAAAAATTGCTGAGATACCCAAAGCAGGATCATTTGAACTGGCCAGTGAATAGGAGAGGGGGAGAATTAGGATATAAGCTTCAGTAGACTTAGTTACCTTGTAAAGTGGCCTGTCATCATGAATCCATTTCATGAGAGTTTTCTGGTGCTAACGATACGCTACTCCAAGATATGGGCACATTTCAGGTAGAAAAGCAGTTAGGGCCAGGGCATGATGCTGAGCAGTGAGCTACTGTCATCTGTGCTGTTCAGTGAGAAGCATAGTCCTGGCACAACTTCAGCCCTCAATACTGACCAACTCAAGCTGAGGAGAGCATGGATCAACAGGAAACCCCAGTGAGGTGCATGTACAGTTGCGGGGGGGGAAGGTAGGGGGTTTAGCAGTGCCTTGTGAGTTGTGCCTCTTGCCTTTAGGGATGAAGAGCAGTCCCAACTTGCTTTATTTACTCACACAGATTTGGCCTTCAGGCCTCGGTGAGTAGGATGACATGTGTCCCCCTCCCCATCTCTTTTCCATGCAGACAGGGATGTGTGCAGCATGAGCTTGGAGAGCGCTGTGTCGCCACTCAGCCGGGTTGCCTTGGTGAGCACCATGTACTTCAAAAACATGTGGCAAAAGAAGTTTTCCTTTATGGATACCCAGATGTTGTCTTTTACCACGGCAGAGGGCTCAACACTGAAAGTGCCCACGATGCATCACACAGCTGAAGTTAACTATGGTAACTGTCCTTAATCCAGATTTGCTCTATTGTATGACTTAGAAGTTTTATTTATTTAATTTCCACAGGTACCACACTAAGAGGTGTTACTTTCCCAGCTTGGAAAGGTAAAAAATTTCCCACCCCCTTAGCTTTTTCACTGTTTGTTCATTGAGTGTGTAAGTCCCAGAGAGAGGATAATATCATTGCACTGCACTGCACACCCATGCCCCCTGTCTCTGGTCACAGCCTGCCCCCAAGGCTTTAGGGTAAAATTGGAGATCTTTAGGGCCAAATTATGCAACAAAGCAGAGAGAAAGTTTTATGGACCTTATACCCAATCAGTGGATTACCTCAGGACAAGCTTAAACCAGTATAAACATAGGTCAAACTTTTATTTGCGTAATATGTGAATATAGTGTTTGCTCCTTTCAAAGGCTTGGAGTATGTGGGTTGCTGACAGAAGGGCTCATGTTGTAGGCCTAATTTCCTGTCACCAGGAATTCAACCATTTAGCCCTACAATCTTTCAAACTGTAAAAAGCTCCTTTCCTTTCTACGCTAGATTTCAGAACTGCACTTGGGTAAAAACCTTCCTAATTCCAAATCTAATTTTTTTCAAGACCAATTTATATCTCTTAGCATTGCTCCAGCTTTATCCCTTCAGTTAAATAGCTCCTCTTCAGCTTCCATATTTACTCCTAAATGCATTTGCAAGTCACCAAGCTGCCTCTGAATTTCCTCTTAGCTAAGCTGAAGATGCCAACCCCTTCAGATACTCCAATTCTCTACTAGTTCTTTTCTGCACTTTTCCAATTTAATCTTTCTTGAAAACTAATTACTAGCAATGTCCATAATGCTTTCAATGAGCCCATATACATGCTCAATAAAATACTCTTAGTATTTCTATGACTTGCTAAAAATACCTTGCATGGTGCACTACAGAATCAGCTCAGGGTGGTAACTCAAGGTTGACCACACCTGAATCTTTTTGCTTTCTCCATTTTTTTTTCCAGCTGATGGGTCCAAGGTAAATCAAGGTGAGAGAAATCTCTATAGGTACACACCCGATATTTCAATTCATCTCACTTTTTATTTCTTTCTGTGACTTGATTATCCTTGATAAAAGGGATCATTTAAAATTTGCTGATTGTCAGATTTGATAGGGCCAATTCAGTTTTTGCCACTAGAAATGCAAGAAGCATGTCTAACAAGTCATTTTGAAATTAATACAAAAGACAGGCCCAGTACAACAATGGAGAGGCATGAGATAACTTTCTTTCATTATTAAATGAAAACAGCTGTCTCCTATCAGGATCCAGAACACAGACCAAGAAAGATTAGCAATGACTTGTTATAGATAGCGGCATTTACAACACTGTTTATCCCTTTAACATGGCCACACAGAACAAATCAGCCTGGGGACAGTTAACACTGCTCTAATAAAATGTCAACATTACTGTTTAAACATGCCTATTACTATTTATACATGCAGTGTACTGCAGCTACTTTACATATTCTTTTTTCCCAGGCAATTTGTCAACTATATTTGAATACTGATTTAGAATATATATAATCCTTATGGGATGCTCCAAATTAGTTCAAGTAAGGAACGCTAAATATTTTGACTCAGTCATCTCAAGTCTTTGATTTTCTTTCTAATTAACAAATAAGGGATGAGGCATCCACGACTTCTCTAGGGTATCTGTATCTATCTCTCTCTATAGAGGTATTTCACACAATCAGCTCTGTTCAGATGAGCCACTGTTGTGAGTTAATAGCAACCTGAGCTGGCTGCTAATGCGCTAGAGACAACCTCTTATACCCCATTGCTGCAGTCCTGAACTGTCTGCTTACCCAGGCCTAGGTTGTGAGTTTTAGGGTTTTTTACCCACCTGAATGATGAAATAAAGATCTGTATTTGCCCACCCACAGGCCAGTTCAAGACAGCAGCTCTGGAGGCTTTCAGCATGGTTGAATTACCCTACCTGGGGGAGAAACTCAGCATGTTCCTAGTGCTTCCCAGCCACAGAACATCTTTGTCCCAGATTGAGTCACACCTTTCTGCCAAAAACATAACCATTTGGGCCAGCAGCTTAAAGAGAACAAAGATGGACATTTTTCTACCTAGGTAAGCAATGTCAGTACTCCAAGGTGGCTTCACTACTTCAGTTGTCAGAATTCTGTGTGACAGCACTGATACAAGCAGTGTACGAGGCAAAATCAAAGGAGGTGCTTTTGATTTTATTATTCATCACATGATCAGAAAACCTCCACCCCTTTCTTAAGCCATGAAGAGATGAGCTAGGAATGCCAAAACTTGCTGGTTCGTTCTGCACTGTTTCAGACACCAAGTATTTCAGTTGATCCTACAGATTTAACTTAACATTTGTTTGGGGTATAACAATCCTTTAAGAATCTACAAAGAGAGAAATGTTCTTGACTCTTTCCCACACTCCATTTTTCACTTTGCTTAAGGAAGGATAAATAGATAACCTTTAAGAAAACACAATAGCTTATTTTTACAACTTGTGAGTGTACTACGGAAGTACTCTGCAAAGAATTTGGGGACCCCCCACCAGTCATATCCATTTTTCTGTGCACAAAGAAAACTGTGCACAGAAGTTTCAGCCGTCAGTTTTCTGTCTTAGTCATTTGCTGCTGCTAGAAAATGCACATATCCCGGAGGTATTTTCTACCATCTATTCAAATGAAATCACATAGCAGGAGGCATCAGGTGCAGGAAGCCCTTTTGTGGCTGTACCTATTGTATGGATCAGCATGGAAGGGCTACATTATACATCTCACAATGCATTCCTCATGTTAATGAAGCACTGAAAACCAATTAGTACATTAATTTATTTTTTTTTTTCTACAAGCCAATCTTTGGCAAATGTTTCAAAGGGCCCTTTGCTACAGCCAGAAAGATTGTTAACAAGAGGACACCTGTTGAAATGCAGAGTTCCTGTGTCAAGAACACTGAGAGGCAGTTTGATTGCAATAGATAAAGGCAAGGGATTCCTTCTGTCATTGTCTTCAGGTTAAGATGACTTGCTTTTCTGCAAAGTACACTTATCAGACAGAATGCATTGGGCTAATACAGAAATAGATGAAATGCAAAGGCTTGAAATAAACTGCATCTATTCCACCTTTTAGCTCTATGAAACTGCAAATCCTGCATTTAAATAAAATCTCTCTATTAATTTCAGGTTCAGTATCCAAAGCCTTTTTGATCTAAAGACAGTTTTTTCTGCCTTGGGAATTAGAGATGCATTTGATCCCATCACTGCTAATTTTAAAGGCATTTCAGGTAAGAGGCTTGACTGCGTAAAAATGATCGCTGACCCAATAGTTCTAAACTCTTACATTGAATGATCCAGTAGACCTGAGCCTTCTGAGTTGATTGTGCTACTTCTTCTGTGAAACTCTAAAACACAATTCACAGCTGTTCTACTTTTTATACTATCTGTCCAGCAGCATCAGGTTACGACACAGTTGCTGCTGTTCCAGCTAAATGCCAAGGGACTGGAATCCTTTGGCTTAGCCAACCTTTAGGGAAGTTCAGGTTGTCATTGAATTAGTTGCCTGGCTGAAATACCTAACAGTTGTGTGATGCTTAGATTCTGCAGAAAAAAAAGGTAACAGCATTCTGAATTTTAATAAATAGAATCACAGACTGGTTTGGGTTGGAAAGGACCTTAAGATCACCTAGTTCCAACCCCTGTGCCATGGGCAGGGACACCTTCCACTAGGCCAGGTTGCTCAAAGGCCCATCCAACCTGGCCTTGAACACTGCCAGGGATGGGGCAGCCAGAGCTCCCTTAGGCAACCTGTTCCAGTGCCACATTAATTTAAATTTACTTATTTAAACAAATGTGTTTGCACTGAAATTCAGAAAATAACTATAAATATCCATTTCTGGGTTTGTTTTTTTTTTTTGTTTGTTTTTTGGTGGGCTTTTTTTTGTTGTTTTGGTTTGGTTTGGTTGGTATTTTTCTGCAGAGCAAGATAATCTTTATATTTCAGAAGCTATTCACAAAGCAGAGATTGAAATAACAGAAGATGGTACAAACGCATCAGGAGCTACAGGTAAATCAAATATACAGGCTGTACTTCTCACTTTAGGAGCTTATTACTACAAAAATAACTACTAGTCTTTATTTATTTATTAAGGCATAGTGGCATTTAAATGTGTTCCTACCTAAATTTAAACTTTTATAATTAACACACTTCCATTTTGCCTTTGCAATTGCTCATAATAACTCTATAATATTTGATCTCAGACCAACACTAAAGACTCAAGTGAAATCCAGCTTTATCAGCCCACAAAAAATCCAGTTTGAGAAAATAAAACATTTTTCTGTCAGTTAAATCTGTTTGCTCAGATTATAAAAGCAAAAAATAAAAAAAGGTTACTAATATTTTATCTATAGCTCCTGAACTGTTACAAGCTTTGTATTTTGAAGATGATCTCTTTGATAGCATTAAAGGCAACGACGGGGAAGTTTTGTCTCCTTGAAGGCAGGCTTCTCTCTTACACACTTTGCAGTGACCTTCATGTGCAGTAGCTTCTGCTAAAAGCTCATTCATGTGAACAGCTGGGGCTGGCTGAGTGGGGAAATCTAGAATAAAATCTCAGCTATGGACTTCAGAGTCAATAAATGACTCTCACAAGCTGAATGGCATCTCAACAGAAATTCTCCAGTATAATTTCCATAAAACTAAAATTACTGAGCTGTGCAATCCCCATTTTTCTTCTACTTTTGGTCACATGAGCCTTATCAAGGAAAGCTCCTTCTTTTTTGCTTCCCTTTTGGAAGCCTCAGATGCTCCAGAGCTGCTGCAAAATCCGTGTGAAGGGCAATGGCAGTCCTAGACCCCTGTGTAGTTTATGCACGCATTACCATTGCTTGCTTGCTTCTCTTGAGATGCTGAACATGTTTCTCAAGCTGTTCAAACACCAGCACAGTAGAAGGGTGATAGTTAACCATATCTCACCTTTCTGCTTCCCTGGTCTGTGCCAACTGTAGATGTACTCCACATGCACATTGCAAACACTGGTGGCCCTTAACTGCAGATCAGGGCAAGAGATGGGACTCTCCCATTTCTTTTCCTTTCTTTCAGGTGGAAATCCAAGAGGCAGCATTAATTGGGGCTGTGGTAACAACAAAAATTGTATTACCTTTTCAAAGCCAGACAGACTCACTTCAACAACACACACACAAACCACCTGCACGTTGCCTCACAACGCTTACCTTGATCATTCACCCAGACCAATTTCACTGCTGGATAAAATTGTTTTATTCTTAAAGCAGAGGAGCAAAACTCAAAGTACTAAACATCAGAGCTTGAGGGCACTGTACAGAAGATGGAAAGAAAATAGACACATTTTACTAATATTTTCTGTGTTGCATTACAGCAATGGTGTTACTAAAAAGATCTCGAACACCTATTTTCAAGGCAGACCGACCTTTCACATTTTTCCTGAGAGAAGCTAATACAGGTATGCATGCTCTGTGTTTCAGCAGCAGAATCCTTCACCAAAATCAATTAACAAGTTCTTTGTAAATAGGACATCTTTTTCAGTCCAGGAAATTTCAGCAACTACAGAAACAGTAGCCTTAGGGATTTTAAAGCATGAGGAACACAGTTTAAAAAGAATGCATGATAGTCATAGAAGTCAGGGAAGCCAGGTTAGCCTCTCTTATCTATGGTTTAGTATGGTTTAGTACATGCTAAACTAGCTTTTTACTACAAATATAAGGCCTAGAAAGATCTTACAGATCTTGAGTTGCTGCAGTGGGTCCAGAGAAGAGCAATGAGGCTGGTGAAGGATCTTGGAACACAAATCCCCAAGCTGAGGGAACTGGGGTTGTTTAGTCTGGAAAAGAGAAGGCTTTCTACCACTATCTGAAAGAAGGCTATAGTGAGGTGGGGGTTGGTCTCTTCTCCCACGTAACAAGTGATAGAACAAGGAGTAACGGCCTCAAACTGCCAGGCAAGGTTTAGATTGGGTATTAGGAACAACTTCAACGGGAGAGTAGTCAGGCATTGGAACAGGCTGCCCAGGGAAGTGGTGGAATCACCACCCCTGAAAACATTCAAAAAATGTGTAGATGCTGAGTGATATGGTTTAGTGGTAGACTTGGCAGTCCTGGGGTAAGAGTTGGACTTGATGGTCTTAAAGGCTTTTTCCAACCTAGTTCATTTTATGATTAAATGCCATAGGATTAGAGACTGACCTCCACAGGGCAATTCAAATTACAAATGGGCTAGATCAGCTAGACTAATATCGGAAGAAAGAAATCCTTTCCTATAAATGAAACTTATCCATGCATATACAGATGGCACAGAGCAAACAGACTTCTGCCTTTAGGCACAAAGACCTGAAACACCCTGTATTAATTCCTACCTTAGCAGTTTCTAGGGGGATAACTCAGAAATTCTGAAGACCAACAATCTTTTGCCTAGCTACAGCTCACAAAAATGCAGAAAGAGTTTCTCTTCCCTCATATTTTGAATATCAGCAGCTTTGAGGAGATGATAGTTTTACACATCTGGACCCTTCGCTACTTAGCACCCTCATGAGCATTTAGGTTATCAAAAGCCACGGGTATTCACTGTATGTCATCAGGTAACTTGGCTCTGCAAAAAGCTTAACTTGTATCTTCACTTTTGCAAAGAAATGACCAAAAAAAAACCCAAGAACTTGTATTTCTTTTGCATCTTACAACTTTTTCTGGCAAATGAACTTCCCCAGCCCCAAAACAAGACCAAGAAAAACTCCAAACAGAAGTGCAGAACACATCTGAAAAAGTGAAACATCACAGCACTCCCTTGCTTCAGTATGAGATGTATAGACTAATTTCAAATGTCCAATCATACAAGTTACTCCAGAATCTCTGCCAAAGGAAAACACTATATAGCTCATTAGCAACAATAAAGGAGAACTGCATTATTGCACCATTTAGCATGTGCTTGCTCCTCCAGAGTATCAGGCCACCTCCAACAGCTCTTAACCATTCTTAGCAATGCAGTAAATTTGCACCTGAAGTATTTTCCTAAAAAGCTTTCAAAACCACAAGTTTCTCTTGTAACTGGGGTCATATCTATTTAGATTTTCAGGGAACATACAGCCATTTATAGCACTCAGTAAGACACTGGGGCCTGTCAAGAAGCCCAAAGACAGTCATTTTCCTTTTCCACTGCCAAGCAACACCCACTGTTCTCTCAGTCAGTGAATACCTGTGTATGTAACACTCTGCTTTAAAAACCTGGATCTTATGTTTTAAAAGAGATGTGTTTGCATTTTGTTCAAGAGAAAAGCACTACTTTGGTGTTTCAAGCATGCTTTTGGTGATCACTGTCATTCAATGAATAGAAGTACTTTTACTGGGCAAATACAGAATCTAAAAAAAGGCACTAAAGCTGATCTATGAAACCAAAGCCACAGACTGTTCAGGATTAAGAACAAATGAATTTTGATAAATAAAATTGCTCACTTTACAGTGTATTTTTGTATATAAAAAGGAAGGAAATCAGATTGTAAAATAGGATTTTTATGATAACAAAATATATAATTTTTAATCAACTCAAAATCAGAAGCACATTTCTGATATTTAAGCTTTCTAATGCAAAAAGTGAAAACTGAAAATATTCAGTCATTTTGTTTGTTTAGACTTAGTGACTCAAGTTGTTTGGATATGAAAAGGGGGAAAAGGTAAATAAGGCCTGCTTGTAATAGATTTTATTAACTTAGAGGTACTTAAAACTTACTATCCCCATAAATTTAACAATGAATCTTCATTAAGGCCAAAAGTCTTCACTGTATCAGTCTTCTAGTAATAGCAGAAATATATTTTCTAGGACTTAAAATAGCATCGTTCTGCCTGAAATAATAATTTGGGGGGGGGGGGGGTAATCTGAATTTTGGGTTTGAACACATTTCCTCTGGAGGATAGGCAAGGTAACAGCAATACAAGCAACTGATCCACAGATGCAATTAGTCTGAAACAGTGATTTCATTCAAGGGGTTGTAATAACCTCTCCTGAAACTACAGTATCAACACAACGAAATGAAACTAGGCTGTTTTGCTCAGTTCAGAAGCAATTCCTTAGGCAATGGTTTGAGTAAGTTGCACGGTTTTGGCAAATTTCTGATTTGGGCTACCAATATTTGGAAAGGCCTTTTAGTTTCTCAATACAGAAATGTTCAAATCATTCTAAGGCAAGCATCAATTGCAGCTGATTTTTCCATATAAGGAATGCATGATCACAAATCTGCTAGTTTCATGCTTAATTTATGTATTTAAACTGTACTACACTTTGAAAATGCAGTCCCAAACTGAAATAATGTTAATATGGCTTTCATTTACAGGTTCAGTACTCTTTATGGGAAGAGTTACAAATCCTTCATAATAAACACTAGGCAAACAAACTGTCTTCTGTTGCTCATATGGCGCGCTTTCCTTCAATGAAATGAAAGGCTACATTATATGTACTTATTAAAACACTGGTTTAAACATTGCTTTTTCTTGCAAAAGTTATAATCTTTATTTCCCTGTTCTAAAGTAAAAAACTTGAGAATAAAATTGAAATTAAAGCCTGGTCCCAGACTCAGTTATAATCAGCTGAGACAGTAAGGTAACCAGCAAATAGCAAAATGCTGTGAAATCGAGTTCAGAGGCTATTTCAAGACAGACAGAACAGGTAGGAAGCAGAAATACCTATTCAAATCAGTGACCAAATAAATATTATTACTAAAAAATGTACTACATTTACTACCTTTTATTTTACTTTTTAAAGAGAATACAGCATAGAATGGACATTCCTAAAGAACACTGAATGAGGCTAAAAACATCTAGAAAAATGCTTTTTTTCCAGCATCCTGACAAAAACTGGGATACACTGAGTGTTTTAGTACAAGATTCAGCAACTCATGGTACAAACATCGGAAACCTAGGCCCATAAAGATTTTTGGGTGAAGACTGCAAACCACTGATCCCTAGGAAAAGCAGAGGGGAGCTGTTCCCACTGAACCACAGCAAACTTCCCAGAAGTTAAGAGCATCTAGCACAGATGAAGAATGTGGCCAATAAAGTGATACTTTGTGTCCAAGGAGCAGCAGCTTCTGGCTGTTCTGCATTCATAAGCACGTAAAAACTTCTGACGCAGAAAAACTGTGCAGCAGCCTCAAAGGCTATTGACGTCTGCTTTACTATATTGTATCCTCATATAACTGTGGGGTTTATCATTGCTGCAGATGTGCACATGGGATATCATTTTGTTATGCCAAAGTCACCAACGAGTACACAAGGTATCATCCTACTGTAGTTGCAATTCAGGATTAGCTTCCTCTCGCTCATTCTCTTGATTAAGAACAGAATATCCAGTGATACAAAATTGCTCTTCATTCTTTAACACTGATATTAGAACATACAAGCTGTGGAAAGTGAAGGCAAAATAAAATAAAAACTGTACACAATCCTACACAAAGGTTAAAATAGAGATTTTATTGATGGAATAACAAAAGTGCTTTTCTTAAATATTTCTCAAAATACATTTGTACAACTTACAATAATATATCCAAAATAACTGTATATACAAAACATTACCTTGTTTAATGTAGGTGCTTTTTTTTTTTTTTGCCTTTTTTTTTTTTGAAAATTACAAAGCAACTTTTTGGCAAAGTTCAACCTTAAGAGGTGATAGTTTTGAAGGTTGGATTAAGAAAAATAGAACCTGAGGGAAAGTGACGCTTAAGTCCACGACAAGCAAGAAGTTCTCCATTTAGTTAAATAAGAATGTTTTTGTAGTATTTTTCACATTACAAAAATAACAGAAGTGAAGAAAAAAGATGATGGATACTTTTCTCATTTTATAGAGCAGCTTCTCATTCTTTCAGATACAAGAACTTGAGATAAAAGCGCATGTCAAAAATGAATGCAAGTAAGGACAGCAGAGCCCTGCTGTGGCTTTCTCTCATGTGCAGTTTTTTCTTAGGTGCTGTTGATATGGTTGACCTGATTGGATCTGCGATGGATTTCTTCCAGAAAACTCTCAAGCTGTTCTATCAGCATTCGTTTTTTAAACCTGCATTTAAAAGAAAGCATAATAATAGATGCAGCACACAGTAACAAATGAAACATCATTCACAAACCTTTTATTGAACCCTGGAAACTTCAGTTGTTATTTTAGGTCCTGTGCATGCTGAGGTGATATATATCTCATCATAGGTACATATGTTGTCTCTTAAAGTTCTAGTAAGCTCCTAACTTGCTTTTCCATTTAATACAAAACTATGCTTACCACAATCTATTCTATCATGTTTCTGAACATCACTCAGCCCTCAGAAATCCAGGAAAAAGAGAGTCACGTGTTTGCTGTTTCTAGAAGTTCTGAAGTATAGAAGTAAAACATATGTCAAAAGAACTATAAACTTAAAGCTGGCAAGAATTTTTAGGGATTATTTACATGCCTTCATGGTGCATTCAACAAAGTTAAGTGAAGATGGTACTGGTGAAGGAATGGCCATTATAGGGTACAGAGCAGATTTCCTGACAAGAAAATACAAATCAGAAGTTTGAGAAAGAAATGAAAGAAAACAAAGATGTAACCCAAACCCAGAGTCTCTGCAGTTCTATTCCATATTGATTACGTACATTTGTAAAGCAGACCATTTTGTCACCTTCGCTTACACCCCTGCCTTGGCACACAAAGCTCCTTGCTGTTTCCAGTTAGCCTTCCCCTCCCTTTGCAACGTTTGTGCACCACTTTCTCAACTTAGTACTATTTTGAACTATACACTGAGTTCAGTCCTGTGACCTTTCTAAACCCCAGCAAAACCCTCTAGTCCCAGCCAGGCCTCCCAGGCCATGTTCTTGTCTCACAGAAACATGGCATCTGCCCCTAATTCCCAGACCACAGACCTCCCCACAATCCCAGCTTAACTATTGGGAAACAAGCTCCCATTCCCAAGCGCATACTATCTTGTGAATACCTGTGTTCTGAGCCCTTTCCCATCTTTCTCATCACAGTTCTCCTCAGTAACCCCACGGAAATCCCACACATCAATTACTGCTTCCCCTCCATTCTCCCTCATTGCTTTCACAACTGCTCCCTGCTTAATGAAAAGCATTAACCTGGAAAACAGACAATTATTCGTTCTTATTCCCTCTAGCAAAAGCCTTAAGCTAACAGCAGTGCTATAGTATATAAAAACCCAGTGAAAATTTAGCATGCTCATATTCTGTGCAAGTGACTGCGCAACATTACTTCCCAGAATACCTTCAAGCCCCTCTGAAGCAGCTGTACAAGTCAGCAGCAGATAATTCCTACAAACTTAAAACATGATGGAAGGTGGAGAAAAAACACATTGCTAACTATTCTCACCTTACTGTTGGCACAAGAATTTGGGTTTACAGTGCACTATGTCGAGCCCTTCAGTACATCTCACTGAAAGTTCCTTTCCAAATGCTGAACACTGCAGCAAACAACTTTTTTTTCAAGGCAGCAGAAACAATTTACCACATAAAATATTATAATGAGCATATTTAAGCACTGACTACAATTCAACTGCTCACTCTACTAGGAATATTAGTACCCTTAATAATAGAACTTCCTTGAGTAGCTATTGCGCTTAAAGCTTCATTACTATTTTGTAATTGGTTGTATGAATTCTTGCCAACACTTTTATCACAAGTGGGTATTGCTCAGCATTTTGCCTAGGTAAACACTTTGGGCTTTGCTCTGTGTATTGTTAGCTTAAAGCTCTTAATTTAAAGAATAACTGAACGGGAATTGAATTTCTTATAATGAGAAGTTGGCTGATTTGGAGAATGTTAATATGTGTTTTGTCAGATTTTGCTCTATACTGTTTAGCAGAGAATAAAAAAATAAACTTATTCTTAGTGCTAGGACCATAAATGGATTGCTATGCCAACTGCAGAAATACTAAAGACTTCTCCACTACCTAGGCTAATTCTTTTTAGCCCCTTCCTAAACAGCTCTTCATCCTCCAAAGTTACAGCCATCTATTGGTGAGATGTGTCTCTTGTGTTCAGGAAGGACTCTTTATAAGCACTGAGCCAAATGTGCGTCACTAAGCATTTGAAAAGCCTTTGTCAGACTAGCGAAGTATTGAAATAGGGATGTGTTATCTCCTCAGCTTTAGTATTTTCACAATTGAAGAAATGGAAGAATGTAAGAAAAAAAACATCAAACCATTATCTACCTCATCTTGATTTCTGCCTCTCAAAAATGATAGCTTTTCTGCTACCAGAAGAGGAACTGTTGAGGTAGTCAGTTTGCAAAGGAAGCTGAAAACTGCGGATTGTTGTAGAAATCCTCCTCTCTCTTCATAACTCTCTAGTGAACTAATCTCCAAAACTGAACCAGGACTGTTTTATACGCACACTTTGTTGCTGAAATGCTTGAGAGTTTACAGATCTTTGGCGCAGGGAAAGAAAGCAGGCATCCCAAATTTGAACTGTATTCTGTGGCACTGCGAAGGTCAGCTATCAGTTAACAAAACAAGACTTTGACAACTCTGGACAGCCTAGAGATGTTTTCTGCAGGGACCAGGTAACCTTGGTTAAATGGGCTTGCCTGGGTAAGGAAAGCAGTAGAGAACTGCACAGGGATTGTAAACAGTGTTATTCAGTCAGATAAAATGACCACACTATAAAAATCTAACTTAAGAGAGAAGAGGAAGGAGAGATGAAGCTGTTCCTGCACTCCAGCCAGTAACACTTAAAGTCTAACAACACTCAACAGAAACAGAATTGCCAGCCTTTTCTACCAGCAGATGCAGTGAACTGTTGGATATGGTGGGAGGTAGGACTTAATTCTGATGCAATATTCAACTTTTGCCAAATTTTGTAGGGATTCAACTCAGGATGATTGGAATAGAGAGGCTGTGCAACAGAGATAAGAATTACAGATTATCTAAAGAGCCTAACTTTACAGGCATAAATATTCCAATCCCATTAAGGACTGCCCCAGATTCCAGAAGCAGTATTGTTTTGGTGTGCTGAGACAGTGAGGAAGCATGTATAATATACAGACTATGACCTACATGGCCTTCTGAAATAAGCCTCAAAGTTACAGTTGTATTTATGATCCAAGCAAGATGTTGGAATTATTAGTTCACTTCAACTCAAACACTGCAGGTTCCAATCATAATTACACATTTCTCCTTTCTTTTCTCTAGAAGGTCAAGCAAGTATGGTCAGTCTAAGGATGCTGTAATGTAGTTTCTGCCTGGATTAACAACACGGGGTTTAAATCCACAGCAATTCTCTCTACTCCAGTGACAAACTACCTCCCATTTCCAGAGCTTCAGACAGAACTTTCAAGGAAATGCATCATCTGAAGATGAATCTTTATGGAACATACCTGGATCTCAAAATTGATTTTAGGACATGATTTTGAGTTGATGCAGAATAATGAATTTCAACTGTTTCTGGAAGCCTAATTCACAGTAACATTCAGTTCTACCAAGTTTTTCAAATTAGCAGGATGCTCACATCTGAACTTTGGAACCTGAAGCCCTTTCTATAGTTAACTTATCTTTCTATGCCATTGTCCAGCTACATTTCTGGCAATTCTGCAGTTACGGTTGCTAACATTAAGACAAAATCTGAGGCAAAAAGGTAAGGTCGTGCAAACTGCACACATCAGGAAGTTTATGTGTTTCTGTTCATTTCCTAGGGAATTATTTACTTGTGGTGTAAAACACCATGGCAAGTTTCAAACAACTGCATCGTTGTCAAGCAGTTATGTATGGCAGTACATGGTGCAGTTTTAGAAGATTAATACAGTTCAGTTACCTACCTTGAAGCTTCTTTAATAACATTTTGTAAAAATATCAGTCGGGTTTGTAAGCTTCCTTGTACATGCTTTAGTAAAAAGAAGATTCTTTCATATTCTTAAAGAGAAGAGCAAAATCACAGTTACTTAAATGCCTATACAGATATCTGTTGTCATAGATCTGAGTGAAATGCAACACATTTCATTTCACTTTTGTAAGCTTTTAGGATATATTACCTATCAACCAGACCTGTAGCAATGATATACTGTTTAATAAACACTAACATCAAAAAATATAGGATATTGCAGTTAGGAATGCATTTAGGAATGCAGTTAGGAATGCAGTTACTGGAATACCTAACAAGTTCATTTTAATATCAGTAATACAAAAAAATGTGACTTTCATAAACACTGATAGGTAGAGCAATGTTTTAATCACTTATCCAGGAAGTTTATAGCAGAGGTTTAAGAACAAATCTTTTCAGCTTTATATTTATTTTGCTCCAGTCTCATGGTTCAATATGTTTCCAAAATAGTGATCTAATATGAACTGTCTAACTCTCATGCCAATCATCTGAAAGAAAGATTTTGTATACTTACTCCTTCCTGGTTTTCGGATTTCTTTCATAATTTGTGCTCTTAGCTCTATATTAATCTCTCTGGAACTTCTGCAATGCACTGGCTTTTTCCCTTTGCTGGGTGAAGACATTGGCAAGTTCTCTTCGGTACTTTGTTCTTTACTACCTGATTCTTCATGATTCTCCAAAAACCCATCAACATTCATGTTATTCCCTAAATGTTCATGGCCTACATCCTCTGTATGAGCTGCTGGTCGATCCAATGAATTGAACAAAGAAGAGGACGTTGAAAACTCTGAATCCACAGTATTTGGGAAAACATCTGATGAAAGTGTATCTGTAACATGATTCTCAACCACATCATCTATTGTAGCCTCATTATTTGTTTCTGATGCTGAAAAAAACAAAGATACATTTGCCAGTTTCACATTATCATCTGATAGAAGTCTATGAATCAGTTCAGTATTAAAGTCTCATAAAATTACACTCCAGCTTATATACTTTAGTGTACATGCCAGGCATAAGAAAATGTGTTTATGAATTGTAACACTGAGCAGATCTCTATAATCTCCTGGCAATTAATGGCTTAAAAAAATCACAAGCATATTCTTTATATGAAAATGGAAACTGCTATATGGACTACCAGCAAAAGAAAAAGCACCTGTAAAATGTGCTTTTATGACATGCCTGTTTTCCCATATTACACTGAACTGACAAAGTTCACTTTAGGGCTGAACAGCGAACAATATTGTTACACAGGGCCTCAACTCCACTCTAAGGGAAGTGAATTCACCAAGCTACAGCAAAATTCAAATTAAGTTCATGTTGTGATACTTTTGGAGCATCTGAATTCCCAGGCAAAGGATGAACACCCTTCTAACTGCTTACAGTGTCCCCTCATTTAGTACAGGAAACACACTGTTTATAGTGGGAAGTTCATATGAAAGAGACTGAAAGACTATCTTAACTGTTTCTGTAATTAACTCCAGATGGTAAGTACTTCATTTTCAAAAGTGAGGGATAAAATAGCCATATTTGGGAAATCAGCCAAAGGTATTTTTAGATAAATAACTTTTTTGCATAAATTAAAATGCAAACTCTCTAAAGATAATGAAGATTCACTTACTTTTGTGAACAGGAATAGGTTTAACAAGGTCAGGCTGTGCTTGTGTGATTGGTGTTGGTGGCCCTTTTCCTCCAATGTGATTATTCACAACTGGAGGAGTTTGTGGTCGACTTCTGAGCAGGGGTGACATACAGCGTCGTCGTTTTGGAATCCCTTGCATATTTGGTTCTCCAGGTCTTTTATGTTTATTTTGAGGCCCTGATACAAACTCATCTGCTTCATCTATCATCATTCCCTGTAATTAAATTAATGGGGAGAATAAAACTTATGCCAAACCCTCATCATATTAAAGACAATTAATGCTTTGTATACCATGCTGTATACCATATATATGATGCTGTTTACTATGTACAACACACCATTATGCACTGAACTCTTAAATGTCGATCAGATCGTTCCTAGACCAAATCAATGTGCTTAGGCCCTTATCCAACCAACAGTCTGCCAACACAATTGAGTGGGCTGTCAAGCTTTTCTTTTCAGTAAATTGCAAAATGACTCAAGCATTAAAAGAGCAGCTCAAAATGATATCGGCAATGTGGTCAAGTCAAAGACAGATACAGACAGAAGGGAGAGTCCAAGCTCTCAGAATTATGGAAAGCTTTTTATGGGGGAAGTTTGGTAAAGGAAACATGATTAGATAGATATTAGCTACACTACAGCGGCAAACGTATTTCATTTATAATATAATTCAGAGGCATAATACTGGATTTCCAATAGAGACTGCCTTCCTTAGGGTCCTAGCGATGGAAAAACATCTGAGACGCTCTCTTGTAAGCAGTACTTGTCCAAACACTTGAAAGTATTTCTCCACTATATTGCTCTTTGAATGGTCAAATCAGAAGCGCACACTCACGCACACCCACAAGCACATTTTTTGAGAAGCTTTACAAAAGAGTTACCTTTTTGTCCAATTTGAATGGATTGCCAAATGTATGAAGCCTTCGTGGTTGATCAGGATCAAGCTCTCGGAGTGGAGAAGGTACTTGTTTTAGATACTCCTGGTAGTTTCCCATTTGTGCTATAGGTACACTGTGAACTTGGTCTGCCACAACATAAGGGTTTATTAATACATTATACTGCTCACCTTATGACAATTTAGTCTATATCCACTTCACAACTCCAGTTTTCAGTCTTTTATCAAATGCATTAATAAAATAGATATGCAACACTTGCCATTATTCTTGTCTAACTGGCATTTATAACATCATGGTTTGAGTGCAGGAAACTTGCTTAAATATATGCCTTGCATATTTATTATTATGACAGGGAAATAAACAATAGTTGTCATGCATGGATATTAGTTTTCCAATATGTCCCATAACTTTTCAACAAAGTAGATGGGTTAAAAACGGAACAAATTGTAACTAAAACATTACTACAAACAAAAGATACATTCATGCAAAGTAGCAATGCCATGCTACATACAGCTTTGACATAACTCTCTCCAGTTTTAGCCACCCAGAATTAAATTGAGACTGGCATTTCCCCACAGAAACAGTGATTTTTGGCCACTGAAATCAACCAATTCTTAAAATCCATAGGACCTGATTCTAAACTTGTTATGGATTTAAAGTTGCCAAGCCTTTGATCAAGCAAAATGTACACTAACAGAAATAGCAGAAATAACATTAGGTTTTACGTGGTTTAACTCCCTCCCTAAAGAGCAGCTTCTCACCATGTCACATTACATTGTCACTTGATCACAGATGTTAATCTGACCTTAGTAGTGGCAGAACTACTGTAGCATACAAGTGCCTTTCACCTGCATTGCCCTTCTCATTTTCTTCACTTATTTCATCATCATCTGTTAGATGCTGTAAAGCACTACCAGAAGACATAGTAGAAAGGTAAAGGAATAAATTAGCAGACTACTGAACTATTTGCTGTCGGCCTGAACGGCAAAAGGATCACACCGGCAGCACCCAGTGAACAAGATTACTTTTCCACTGCTCGCAATACACTTCTATGGAGAAAGATTGTAATGTTCAGAACTGCCCTGTGACTTTTTCCCTCAGATACCCATGACAGTTGGAAAAAACAGCGAACAAAATCTTATGTAAAAGCCCAAGTCTCATACAGACCAAAGGACAGAGCAGTGAACCTGCGATCTTCCCTCCCCTCCCCGTTTTTTCTTCCAGCAAGTTACTTAAGGAAAAGCCTAGAGTATCCATGGAGTTTAATGGCAGTATCAGACACCCACTAAGTTTTAAAGCACTATCCTATTTGTTACTGTCTTCAGGGTTTTTTTTTAGCACCAATCATATCACAGATAGACAAAAAATAAATTGTTGTCTAACCTTCATCTTGTCCTTTGAGGAACTTGCGAGTACTCTTCAGTAAATTAGATCTCATTCGTGTTAACTGATCCAAAAGATTTCTTCTGGGTATGTCATAAGCATTTCTAAAACTCTGAGGTTTCAAATCCTATGGTTCCAATAAATAAAGTTCCAATTAATACTGTGCATGAAACAATATCTAGCATTTCAATGGAAGTATATTGAAAATAACAACATTACACACAATGGTGCTTACCTTATTCAGCAAAGCTATTTGGAACCCAGCATACTCCTTCATATTGAGGTCTAGAGGTCTATGAGGAATTTCCCCAGTAATCCCCTGTAGCAGATGTTGAAAATCGTTCCTATGTGCCATAGACAGGTTGTGTGATCTGCTTCTGACCTTAATTCCAGTCTCTTGCGCTACCTTTTTGCCTACAGAGCCAATGACTCTATCGGACTCTATTTTGGCCTTAATTTGAAATAAATAAATAAATAAAATTGACAATATGCTCTTAAAAGGATTAGTCAGACTTATTCATTTTAAATTCCAACCTAGAAGATTCAACAATGTGCTAATAAACTATGACGACCATAACCAGGATGAGTGCTTAAGGAGTGCTTAATACATAACCACTTAATGCTTACTACAATTTTAAATATAGTGAACAGTTTGTGCCTAGGTCTTCTGCATATTTCTCCTCTGCTGCCCTTTATGGTATCTAAGCACCAATATGCATGCAATGCTTTTATTTTCATAAAATGCCATAATCTGACTAGTAATGCTCTGCAAATCTGTTTAGTCTAATAGATTTTTCTACAGTAACAGCTAAACACTGTAACTCTCAAAAGACTGATTCTCCCACAACTATAGTTGTGATCAGTCACACAACGGAATCACCTTTTTAAAACCACAATATGAATAGACATAACATTAATAAATAAATGCACAACAATACCCAGTTATGTTTGAGTACACAGATCTAACCCCTAATATTATGTCAGATTTGTACCAAAATCAAACATGTTCATAAATGCCAGATTTTTGGCAAAATACAGTTAAACAGAGAGCCAAAAGTAATTTAGTAATACACCTGCCAATGTTGGTTTTACAGATGCACATAAATTTATAGACTAATCAAAATCTGAATTTTACTTTTTAAGACTGCTGAGTACTACTGGCAGTGCCTTTCAGAAGTTAGAAAAGCTTTAAGTACAATTTGCAGTGCATGCTATTACATTATAGGAGTCTAAGATGCCTAAGTTGAGAGATCAGTTCACAGAATACTGAGCAGTATGATTATGATTTAACAGAATATACTGTAAACTTCAAGAGGTTTGCTTCTACCAATAATCATATATGTTAATGTTTTAAGAAAAAGCTGGTCCATAAGAACTCATTAGCTAAGTTATGGGTATTTGCACTGCTGTTTCTTGAAGTTTCAAGCCTACTGCATCATTTTATTATTTTGAACAAGAAAGCTTAACATGCACAGGTCAACAAAATAAAAGCAGAGGTAGCAGGGCAGAAATGCTTTTGCTGGTGCAGGAGACTAATCAAAGATAAGGGCACTACTGTGAACACAGACAACAATTTCAAAAAGTCACTTGCCACTTCTACATCTGTATCCTTATTTGAGATTCTGAATTTTGCCAGTTTGTATTTACTGAACAATTTCCATTTCATTTCATAAGCCAAAGAAAAGACATTTTCTGATTCTGATGCACAAAGTACAAATATCTATTTTCTGAAAAAATACTATAACATCTTTAACATCAAAGACAACATGTTTTCTTTTGGACAAAATTATGTTACCATCTGTACAAGTAAAAATGCTCCTAAAACATATTATTTTTAAAAAAAAAACAAACAAACCAATCTCAATTTGTACCTCCATATCTATATCTTCATAGTCCAGACTACAAAGCCTATTTAAATGTTAAGCTTTCCTTCAATTCTGAAAACCAAAATGCCTTTTTTGCTAACTGCTTATGGGAAGTTATTAACTTGATATTTCTGCTCTTTCTTCCTTCAAAGTCATTGAACTTGAGTATCTTAAGATCATCCTGATATTCGAATAAGCTTTTACTGCTCTTTTGCTTTAACATTACCTGCTGACTCAACTTTTTGAGATAGGAAATGACACTGTAACTAAGTCCATATTCCATATTGTCAGCTATAAGATTCGGTGCTCCCATCATTCTCACAGCTTTCTTCAAAGGCTGAAACATGAATATATTGTACAGTCATATTTAACTTTACATTAGTTGATGTATACAACATTTGCATTCATTGCAAATAGAATCTGAGGTCCTCAAAGTCAGAAAACCAAAGACCTTCAGGGAAGCATTTTTTGTTGTTGTTTTAAAGCACTGCTGCAATTCATATAGAATCAATTAACAGAAATATAATTTATATATGAGTCACAGCTGATGAAACTGTCATAACGTTCAAGTCTCAAGACTTCCACAGGACTCCAGTTAAAACAGCAAGTACCACTATGCACAAAGTCTAGCTATTCTTTATTAATACATATTCTACTTTAAATAGGGAATATACACATAGTGGAAAGATAACTACAGTTACATGATAAAATAGAAGTTTTAACACAGTAAGTCATCTTACCCCAAGATAATATGGAGGCATTGTCTTCAAATAGCTTTCAAATGACTGTCGCCATTTCAATGTAGGCTTTGCCTTGTGTACTTTAAACAAGTCATCTGATGGTTATAAAAAGAAGAGACAAAATGAAAGACGTGTCTAGGCAGCACTGCATCATTTTTTCTAATAAAAGAAACTCTCAAAGAAACAAATTCTTCAATGCTGAAGTTAACATATGTATTTTAACATGTATATGACTTAAGTATATACACACACAAGTTTAAAAAAAAAGCCAAAGGATGAACTTAATAAATTATTTATCAAAATGAATTTGTAATTGAGACAGACTGATGGGGAAAAAACGGCTCCTAAAATAATGGAAGAAGTGAGACCAAAGCATATTTTAATTAAAACATCTCACACGGAGTCTGAGTCACAGAGTAGTCAATTGGTGACAAGTGAAACAAGTTACTGATGACATTGCTCAACATGCTACCTTTCTATAGGGGTGTGATTAATACTGCCATTAGTTGCAGTAAATCTGCTTAGATGAGATCAATTTTTCAATTGCTTACCACCTAAGAAAACTTTTATGAAGTTGTCTTTACCTAGCAGTGGAAGGAGGACTGGATAATTGTAAGGCATCACAAATAAATTCACACAGTTCAGCGCTGTACTAGCTTTCAAGTAACCAAAAGGATGACCAAGTTCACTGTATTTTGCACTATTGCTCACATATACCTGCAATAAAACACATTATGTTGTATGTAAATAAAAAAAAATCCACATTACATTATATGTGCTGAAATTTTACCTCCTACTTTAATTAGAGAATAAAGTCTATGAAAAACAACATTTTATAAATAACTTCAGTTCAGCATGCACTCTACTTGCCTGCCAGCAGGTCTGAGGGGATTTTCTTTCCAAGATAAACTGGGTCAGTGGTGAAGGTTCTAACTCGTATTTATCAAAAGGCAGTTTGTCAATTACCATCGGCTCACAGTCAGTACAGGAAAATTTCACCACAGGATGAGATGTGCGAGGTGGCTAAACATAAGCATTCCACTGTTAATAAGTCTGCACAATGATTAAAATGCAATGGTGCTATGACAACTTAAGTAATACATGTTCTTTGAAAACAGTCATATTTAAGGAGCCTAACTCAATACAGGATTCATACATATTGTTAATGAGTCCTAAGCAATTCATTTATGATGTTAGCACTGTCTCAAAATCTAAAAGAATCTTATTTTCTATATAAGCACCAGTTATTTTATCTGGTAAGCCTAGAACGTCAGAGTACACAAGTAAAACTTCTTGCATATACATAAAAAACTTTGCAAATGAAATTAAATTGCAGGGAGGACAACAAAAAACAACAACAAAAAAAATAAAATAAAAAAAAAAACAAAACAACAAAAAACACAACAAAACTCTTCAATGCTTCTCTGGGGCGTGCCCATTTTTATTCCCACAGAAGCAGGCACTGTACTTCTGCATTTGCTGACTTCCTCCAGCACTTTTCCTTCTTGGCAAATTTAACAGTTATAAAATTCAAACTGAATTCTAATGATCAACAGCAGCATGAACTTAGAAAAAAACACCCCAGGCTTTAGAAGAACTTGCATTTGAACTAAGCCGGTGAAAATGTATTTCAATTCAAGCAATTTAAGTGCTTGGATTTTCACCTTTTTATTAATCAAAGGGAAAAGACCTTTGTACCTCAAGTTTCAAGTATAAGTTAACAACATAGTTGACATTTCTTTAGCTGAAAGGGAAAGCTGATTTCTTGTGTGATGATGGTTGGAGCTGTACATCTTCTACTGAATGTTTTCCAGGAGAGGAACATAAGCTCTTATACTTACCCTGAGCCTCCTTCAAGGCCACTAGAATCTGGGGAGGAGCTCAATTGGGAAGGCTCCTTCCATTTACTCTCTTTACAAGAAGGTAGCTAATAAATACATAAGATCAACTAAGGAAATACAGGGTTTCTTGGACCTTCCTATCATCTCACCTTGAAAGTAATTTTTCTACATCTATAAGCTCCAGCCTCTTCCTTTTAGGATAGGCCACCCAAATGTTATCTGCCCATAAAGTTGGTCTTGCCTTGAGTGTCTCCACTCTGAGAAGGTGTACTGTCCAAGTGCATACAAAACAGGAGGCCAAACCAACTGCAGGAACTGCAATTCTCTTCAAAGAAGATGCCTCCAGTAAATAGTTGTGGTGGAGTTTTTGACCAAGCCATGAAGCAGTTATACTAGGAATAAAAAAAGCTGCAAAAGAAGTTCAGTGCTAAGACTTGAGAAGTCAAATAACTCTTGGCTGGACAGAACAACTGCTCCTCAGAGCAATGGGAGCAGCCATTTTACGTGTTGATCTCCCAATGATACTTGAAAGTATCATTACCTACAGTTCACAAAACAGTTGTTGGGGTAGCACTGTTTGAGAAACTGTATTGTGGATCAGGTAATAGGCAAGAAATGAAAAATATCTAACTACAGACTCTTAAGTAGACAAGTTACAACATATGTTAAATTTTAACACCGTATTTTCAGAACACTAAGGAAATAGAAGTATTGCAACACTATCAGCAAACTTAGCGCCCCAACATTGCATAAGGAAGGTTCAAATGTGGAATTTCAATTGATGTCAACAGGAATTTAGATGCATATGCAACAACCCAGTGCTTTATGCAGTTATGGGAGCTATACACACTGAAACTGAGAGAATTTTTTCTCGTCTTCTCACCAAGTCAACCTCATGTTTTTAGCAGATTGAGTTCAACAGCTCTTCACTTGGCAAGATCTATTTTAGCAATCTCGATCAAAATCTGCAGCAGCAGGCGAACTGTACTGACTCTACAGTGAATGGAGGCAGATATGCCACTGACAGTGATTACAAGGAGCACAAGGGACAGTTTTCATACAGAGCAACTTGTTAGTATCTAGTAAACAATGACATTTTGTTTTTTAAATTACTATAGAAGATTTAATTTTATTGATATATGCTAACTTGCAGTTCAGGAAGGCATCCATGTCCTTCAATGAATGTGGCCACAGACACCAGCAATATCAAACCTGTAAATATGACTAAAATTTCATACTTGTATCAATCCTCAACAACCTTATTTCAAAGAACTTCATTTTTTTTTTAAATAAAGATAAAAAAAATTTATTAAAAGTCCAATCAGTTTGCTAGTCAGCACACTAATTTCAGATCAAAAAACCCTACAAAAATTCAATACAAATTGTCATAAAATATAGGGAACAATTATACAACTTCATTATTTCGACTTCCATGATTAGCAGAAATACAAAAATACATACTAATGATTAGCTCTCAGACCGAAAGAAAAGACAGTGGCCTACATTTTTATGAAAAATGTAAGTAAAATTAATTCTGTGGGCAGTATTTAAAAAAAAAAGATGAGTTTCTCCACTTGGGATAAATTGAAGGTGTGACTACACTGCACAACAGCAGATAAAATTACATTCAACTGCTGGAAAATGAAGACAAAGCTACCACAGGGATTCGAAATTGGGAAGATAATACTGTCTCTCTTAGTATCATCTGCGAGGCAATAGAATTTCATAGGCTATTATCAAAGTGCCACTATATTTCTGGTTTGATATTTTAACAGAGTCCAAACAGAAACACTGTAGGCATGTACTAGGTTGACATATGTGTTATGGGCAGTTTCTCAATGCTTTAAAGTTACTAAAAAGAAACCCCGTAATATTATTTTCTCATCCAACTGAACTGCAAAACTGGTTCAAAAGTGTCATTCCTTCTTGGGTCGCACTGTTTTTACGGTTGCTAAAATGAAGCACATATCTTAACATCTAAAAATCGGTGAACAGGAAATCTTGAAATATTCCCCCATGCACAGTCCTTTGCTTTAACTTCAGTACATACCAGTGTTGGAGAATTTTGATCTGGCCAAAAGGATTCAGGAACAGGCCAGTGACCTATAGGAACCCCAGTTTTAGGGTTTGGTCGGACATAAATAAGTTTGTGACAGCTGTGCCAAGGTTGGGGTCCAAAGGGTCTAGATATATCCACCTGCCCATCTACAGAAGAAAAAAGCTTTATGAGTCACAATAGTGTTAAAACTCAGACAGAATACTAAATAACTTCTGTGAAGTTTAAGAAATATTACCCCTAGGGAAGCTCTTTCTGCAGTTAATATTATTTCTAAGAATAGCAAACAGTTGTCAGTAAGCATTTCTGCAAAAACCCAGAAACCATGAGAAACCAAATAAGCATTGAATGTTTACAGGATCAGAGCTGAAAAAGCCAATTATCTGGAGCCCTTCTTAATAACCAGTTTCTTTATCCTCCTGTTATTATGAACAGACAACCTTCAAATCTCCATGCATACAAAAAAAGAAAGATATATATGACTAATACTACTAGACTTTTTATTGCAGCAAAGGAGGATAAAAAAAAAATACCACTAGCACTTCACAGTAACATCCTAAAAGGAACCCAGCTTAGAAGCCATTTAGAAGTTAGTGAAGGCTCTACAGTCATATTTGCTATTTTAACTCTTAATGCAGACCCTTTACTACATTAAACAGAAGGATATGTGTATAAACCCACAGTATTTCCATATCAAGCTCTTTACGTTTCTAACTGGAACTACTGCTTAAAATTCATGAACTATCCTTGATATGAATAACTGCATTTAAGACTACCTGAGCAACACAACCAAATGTAGAGGTTTTACATAGCGTGTAGCACCTATAGCCAGAATTCTGATAAAGTACAACACCCTTATAGACAGAACAGGTCCTTTTTTATAGTAATGTCTTTTAAATTACAACATTTTATCTTTTGGCAACTATTACATGAAGTTCACTAAGTTATATTGATAGTCATCCCTGCCATTTGATACCACACTGTAAAAAATGCCAAGTACCATCAATTGGTGAGGGATCCGGTCCAGCTTTTTCAAAATTTATTACCACGCCACTTTGCACTTTTTGCACCAATGACTCAAGACACTGATTCAGCATTCTTGGGGAGCACACACAATATGATCGACCTAGAATAAAACAGTCAAGATCAAAGTTGTTCAGGGTTTCTATCCCTAATTTTAACTTGGATCATTTAAAACTGTTCACCCACCGTACACATTGATTTATCTACGGACCACTCCTTTAAAGCTTCTCCCAAACACTGTCTTTAAGCAGAAAGGCAGCCTAGTGGCACAGTGACAGTGTCACATGCACCTCATTGGAAATGTTCAGGTTTTAGCCCCTCGGTGACTTCAGCTCCAATTCTTGGCTGCATTCATGGAAAATGGGCTCCCCCTTGTGACAAACACTTAACTGTCCATGAATTTCAGTCAAAGCCCCATCAGTATAGCCTGACACGACAATCAGAAAGCAGTGGAAAGAAATCCTTTTGGAACGTTTTTTAAATTCCTTTGCTCTCCAACACAGAGAAGTCATGTTTCTAATATCTGATAATACTAAAAACTTTCACAAACAAATTATAAAATAAATGCCTGAGTTTGATCTGGAATATAATTTTTAAAATTATAATTAAGATTATAATTAAGATATATAATAACAGTTATGAATTATGATGGAGACAAAAGTATTGATTTTGCAGAATTATTATACATCTGCATTACAGGAATTCTGCATTGCATTCTGCATGTTCTGAAGAGGAGGGCAAAACCAAAACAACCCAACACATTTCCTTCACTTTTGGCTTCTTTAGATCAGAGTATGACAGGAATTTAGCAAAACTATACTGCAGAAACAACAATTTTTATAATTTTAAGTTGTGATATCAAGATGTATTGGAAAAAATTAAGTTTTCTCTTCTAAGAAACAGCTAAGGAAAGTAGATCCCCACTCTTCCAAGGCAGGCTACATTAAACTGTCTGTAGCTTTAATGCAACAAGTGTCTTTAATTTTATTATATTGGAGTTCTGAGTTTTTACAGGTAATATGAGAACTTGGAAATACTTATTCCACAACATGTATGTGATTAATAAACTTAATAAATTGAATTAATTTTAATTTTCAAAAGTACTGACTTGTCAAAGGAAACCAGGGCACCCACCTCCTGTGACTTCACACATAGGTGTGATTGCAGAGTCATCCACCGGTACTCCTGTCATCTGCTCCGATTCTGGTGCTGTAATACCAGGCAAACGGAGAACCAAAGCAAATAACCTCTGATCCCATCGAAAGGGTTCCTTAGTCAACTCACTTCCAGGTAGAGGGGAATTGAGAGGTAAATGGAGCTGAAAATTAATTTAAATCTGTGAATATAATGCTTTAAAGAAAATCAGGTTACATAGTGATGGCAATTCACTCCATACAAACATATTTATAACCTCTCCACAGATACTTATAATTTGATTCAGGTACTGTATTTTAATCAACACTTCAAACATTTCAAGGCCAAGTAATGCACAAAGTTGAAAGTTACAGACTGAGTGGGAACAACCACTTTTTAAACCTGACCTAAAGTTCAGAATGAACAGAATATTTTCTTTAGAATTTCAGCACTAAGAACTGCTTCACTGCAGCGTTCTTCTGTTCAGTATTCTGCAGAACAGGCCCAGTCTTTTCCTTGATTCGCCAAGATAAAAAGCACACCTGAATGAAAAGGTAATGTTAAACTAAGACTCCTGTGGAAGAAATACAACTTAGGTATAGTTGCTCAAAAAAAAAAAATCTAGCTGCCAGGATGCCCTACTCCAAAGAACTCAGCTCCAACAAGTGAACTAATGCAGTAGTTATATTAAGGAATCAAAAGACAGAGATTTTACATAACTTGAGTATATCCCACAACTGAACTCATGCCTGTCCTTTAGATAAAAGCATAGATTAAAATCAACTCTGAAATGCAAAATGAGTTCTCACTTATAGATAATATGTAATAGTAGAAAAGGCTACCCATACACGGAAGAATTGCTTGCCATGTGCCATTGTGTTGCCTTTGTCTGGAAAGAACTGCACAGAAGTTTTAGTTCAAAATACTGAAGATACCATCCGGGGACACACAATACATGGGAGCATTTCTTTTCGCTTCAGTTCCCAGAAGAGACAGTAAAGATATTCAAGTTTCAGACTTCACATCCTTGGGTGACATGGTTTAGTGGGAGGTGTCCCTGCCCATGGCAGGGGGATTGGAACTAGATGATCTTAAGGTCCTTTCCAACCCTAACAATTCTATGATTCTATGATTCTATGAATCCTATTATTGGTGAGCAGGCCTTCTGCTTATTCTGAGTACATGCTACTACATACATTTATGCAACCATAAAGAGCAACACAGCTTGAAATCCTCAAAAACCTGAGAACCCTATAGACCCTAGGTTGAATAAAAGCTAGGCAAGCATTAGAGAACTGCAGTGGCACAGTAGTTGGTGAAAGAGAACAGCTATTCTGGCAATGACTGCACATACAGCTTACACATTACAATAGGCAGCACTAGCACTGCTTAAGGTTTACTACTCAGGTAACTGCAGGCAGCTCTATCTTAGGAAATGTCATAAAAGATTGTTACACACTTAAGCACACAAAAATATCCATACAGTCAACTTCTCTAAGTTGACTTTCTTTTTCTAAAATAGTAAAAAGAAAAAAAAAATCTACAAGTAACCCTGTTTGAAGGCTTTTCTGGCACACATAAAAAGACACATCTAACATTCCAAACAAATGCAGCATTTCATCCTGAAGGACTAAGGATAGCAACAAAATTCAAGCCCAGCTGAGAAAACAAACCCTTGACAGACTGACTAACTCTACTTAAAGTTAACAGTGTTTTATTTTCCTATCTTTTCTATCCAATTGTATGCAGTTGTAACACAGAAAGCCACAGTTTTTTCTTCCACAGGAATTAACTTCAGATCACAGAGGCACACTAGGTCATCTGACACACCATGTTAATGATACGCTATACTTGGCCATTCTGATACTAGCGTTAACCATGAGCAAGCGCACACCGAGCTGATAGTTACACAGAATTCATGTCACGAGCTCTGGGGCCCAGTGCCAAATGCTGTGATCATAGCAACTGCTGCTTACAGGAATAACATGGACAAGGAAGGACAAGAACATACAGCTCTCTAACGAGAGCTGCTACGCATTTCTTGCAGAATTTGTTTAGAAATCAAGATATTTATCTGGAGGAATAACGATTAAAAATATGGAGCGTTTACAGTTCCTGGTTACTCTTGAAAGTAAGCAGGACCTTGCCACTTGTCAGTTATTACAGCAGGGATACAAGATGACCAACCCTGGGAAGAATCAATGTGACAATGCCAAAGAGTTCTAGGAAGAGGAGTCAAGAAAATCACTGATTCCTTCTGTAAGAACCTCTCATAACTGGAAGATCAGAAGAGTGGCAACATAAAGATGCCAAACAGCATTGCCCATGCTTTTTATTCGCATGACCATTCATCAGAATGTATCGATAGCTCAATAACCAAGTCAGTCTTGCAAACAGGAGTTTAATGCTTCCTTTTAAAACAGAGGGCATGTAGAAGGAAGAAACATAGCTCAGCAGCTGCAAAACTGAAGTATGACATTTTATTTCATAACAAAGAGGAATAAAGAGAAATCCCCTAAAGCAGTTAAACACTTGTTAAAGGAAAGATTGGGAAAGGGCTAAGACTAAATTTGAGGGATCAGACCAGAAGTGAAAGCCACTCTGAGAGGAATTCCTAGCATAAAACCAATAATTAATGATGGTATTCCAACAGAATGAGCTCATCTCTTCCTCAAGTTATGACTGGGACAAGGGAATCCAGGGAAGAATCTGGTCTACATACCACACTGAATGTAGAACTGGCACTAGCCCTCTTCAGTGTATTGGCACGGGTGCATTTGGAGTCAGTGCCAGACGGGACAGGGCTGAAAATCCTACTAACTTGTGCTAGTGGAGATGACAATTCCATAGACTGCATCATTTCCACCTTCAGTCTTGAGGAACTACATCCATGAGAGACAAAGCAGTGCTGAATGGGTAAGGCTCTTTATCTGCAAAACCCATATTAAATTCCACAAAGCAAAGGCTTGACTGCTTCACTCTAGGACAAATGACAGTGTTCACACATTGGTAAAGCTGATTTCATTGGTAAGAATACAAATGTCCATCTGAATGACAAAGCTTTGAGAAAACTTGCTTCCAGGTTCCACGCTGGCTTCACATGGAACAAAACCAATGTTCTGTCGGTTCTCTTGTACACAAGTTTTAAAAGAACTAAAAATATACTGCCTTACCACATAAGAACTTTTACATAGGAAGTAAAAACTTGTCATAGCCAGTGGGATATGATCACTTCCAACACCGACTCTGAAAAGCCTCTCCAAAGTCAAACCCAAAGAACAGAAGAGATATTTCAAAGTGACTGAAAAGCTTTGTTATTGAGCAGAGGAGCAAGAACAGACTTCTGTATTTCCAGGGTGATTTACTGTATCAATTTCTGCATGTCCAACCTGAGAGGTAACTGTAAAGGACATTCAAGCGACATCAAAACTCTGATCAATAGGACACATGTTGACTAAGGTAGATGATCATCCCTGAAAGACAGAAGCACTTTTGGATTGTTTCCCTGCTCTTTGGTACTGTTAAGGACATTCCTACCAGTACAGCTATGGCAAGAGAGAAAAAAACAAACCACATCTATTGCTGGGTATGAAATACATACTTTGTAAACACATATGGAAGAGCACTCAAAGAAACTTGCATTTTGTCTTGCAGGAAGGAAGAGCAGTGGTCACTATCAGCTCCTCCAGAAGAAAATGCCTTTAAGTTCGCTCACTTATGAAGAAGTCATTAGTCCACTATCATTAATAAGAGTATCTGCTTCTCTAGAATGCAGTTTAATCATCAAACCATGCAGGTGTCAGATCTGGCACAACGTCACAATCATGATACTAAAACTCCAAGTATAGCACACACTCGTCAGCCAGCACCACTCATGTGCTAAGCCTAAGTTTAGTAGGTTAAAGCAGTGTCCTGAGTTCATCAGTAGCAGTCATTTTTTAACTTCTTAGTAGCTGCGTTTTTGACTTTCAGCCTGGGAACAGCACTGACAACACCGATGTTTTTAGTTGTTGCTCAGTAATGTTTAGTCTGACCAAGGACTATCCGAGTCTCATGCTCTGCCAGGGAGGAGGGGAAGCCAAGAGGAAGCAGAGACAGGACACCTGACCCAAACTGACAAAAGAGGTATTCCATACCACAGCACGTCATGCCCAGGACGTAGAACTGGGAGCAGTTACCCGGAAGGGCTAGATCACTGCTCGGCTGGGCTAGGTATCAGTCAGTGGGTGGTGAGCAGTTGTATTCTCTTCCATTGCTATTTCCCTTATCATTATTATTACTGGTGGTAGCAGTAGTGGTTTGTGTTATACCTTAGTTACTGGACTGCTCTCATCTCAACCCATGGGAGTTACATTATTTTGATTCTCCTCCCCATCCCTCCAGGAGTGGTGGGAGGAAGGGGGGATGGGGGGAAGTGAGCAAGCAGCTGCGTGGTTCTGAGTTACCACCTTAAACCATGAAAAACAGCCTCCAGAAAACCCATTTTCTCAGCATAAGTTGCAACAATTTAAAGATGTGAATGTGTGACCAGATGGTTGCCTAACCATAAGAAAATGTTTTCTTGGGAAGACAAAGGTGAGGAAGTTGTACTCACATTTGAAGACAAAGGAACACAAAATAACTTGCTGGCTGTAGAAAACAATGACTCTTGCTGTAAGCAAAGAGTTCATGACTCTTTGCGAATAGAGCTTTCTTACCCAAACCATTTCAGATAAATGAACAAGATGAAAGGAAATCTAATGCAGAATCATTGAACTGTGTACATGAGAAGGGACACATGAAGGTTAGACAGTCCACAGTCTTCTGATTGCTCAGGGTCTTGTCCAACTCAGTTTTGAGCATCTCTAATAACAGAGATCTCACAATCACTGGACAACCTATACCAGTGTTCAATCACCCACAAAGTTAAATTTTTTTCTTTATATCCTATGGTACAATTTGCAGCTGTCTCATTTCAGACCTGTGTACCTCCAAGTAAAGTTGGGCTCCCTCCTACACTAAGTTGTTGCAGGTAGTGGTAAGACACTCCCCCCTTCCCCATCCCTCAGGCTTCTCTTCTAAAGGCTAAACCCAGTTCTTAGCCTCTATTCAGATGTCATTTGCTTCGCCCCTCTGAGCATCTTCGTGTCTCTCACTCCAGGATGTCAATGTCACCTGACAGCAGACAAATTGCTTCCCCTCAAGAAAGGACTTACACAGCTATGGCATTACCCAATTAGCTCTTAAAAAAAACAAAACGGTATTCTACTGGTAACAGCACTAAATGTTGTAGAAGGCTCTAAAAGTGTCACACTATCCCTCTGTTTAATTAACAGTATCTCACTGACAACCACTGTAAATATGAGGCTGCTATTCTACTCAGTATTTTGGATCACACCCAATCATTCACAGGATTAAACTGAAAAGAGCTTAGTGGGTAAAAACATACGACGGAAGTGAAGTCTTATACAGACATCCCACTTGGTATCATGGATCCAAGCATTCCCTTTCAGTTACTGGCTATGGCTATTTGTTAGTAGCCCACATAGAATTATGTTGCCATTCAACTTTCTTTCTCTAAGTCAGACAATACAAAAGCATCCAAATAACACTTTTCATACAAATAACTTCTGTAAATGCTGTAATAATGTGATATAAGAGAGCATTAGGAAAAATGTGAGTAAGTAATATATGACTATATTGTCAAACGCATTGTACCACATGGAAAAGTCTGGATCCTCCCCTTTAGCTTTAGGACAGACTTTTGAATATTAACCTTTTCCCTGAAAAGGGAATGATCTTAGGGTTTTATTGTTGTTTGCTTTTTCTGACTACTGCATGGAATGGGTACTGAGCTGGCCAGACCAACCCCACCCCTAGTGACCTCTTTCATCTTTTTCAGGAAAGAATTCAAAACAGCCAGTAAGTTAAAATAGTTCAGTGCCTCAACATTTTCTGTAGCTCCAAATCTGCAAGATGTCTGACCAGGTACTCACTCCAGTATGTTAAGATCTACTGTTTTAAATTGATCTACAGACTTAATTTGAGAAATATTTCTTCAGCTCTTGTCTTGGATAAGGACACTACCAATTTTATTATAATCACTTTAAGAGCCCAGTGTGAAACAACCACATATTTTATACACTCCCTAGTGACCACATCCTTTGGGAAAGCACTACATTAATTTGGGTCTGCACATAAAGAGCTTATATCTAGACCAGCTAAAGACATACAAGCTTTACAGAAATCCATTTCTTCTGTTTGTTGAGTTGAAAAGCATGAACTCTCTGGATAGAAATAGCAAAGTAAGCCTACTAAGCAGACCAACAGTTGTACTACATATTTCTGTAATATGCGATAAGGAAAAAGAGCTATTCAGATTTTTGCAGTACTTCATAAAATTACCTCAAGTAAAAAGGAAAAAATATGCAAGTTTAAGCTATTAATGAGCATACTCTTTACGAGTCTTCTATGCTCCTACTGTATACAGTATTCTAACACAAGGTTTAGTACACATCACTGTAAACAGAGGTCAGATCTTACCTCTTCCTGTATCCCGCTCGTAGTAGTTAATTTACTTCCATCAGTGACTGTTATAATTATTGCTGGCTCCAGAAAAAAGGGGTTTCGTCCCTGAAGGGAAAAAAAAAAAAAAAGGACATTTCATTTAAAATGTTAGAACAAATTCAAAAGCTTCTATTCAGTCCTTAAATAACCACTGATACCCACCGACAAAACAACAAGGCCTGAGGTATTTATTCTCATGTACTACGGGTTTCTGAGTCTTTTTGCAACTAGGCCTTGTAAAGCTAGACACTTTCTATCTCTGTATTCAATAAATGCATACAAAAGCACGGCAAAAATGGTTAACTTCAATAACAATGTATACTGCAGTATTCTGACAAATCAGCAGCTGTTTAGAGGAACAACAGTCTCTTTAAACCAGAAATACTGCCAATTCCTCCTATTCCAGGGTTGATTTTATGTGTGATTTAATTACCGTGTGAACAACTAAAGCATTTGCACAATACCTTGTGATCATGATCCCCAGGGTAAGAACTAGTACCCTATGTATTAAGGAAGACTCTGACATGAATAGTACCAGTTACATTTTGACTGAAGTGGTTCAACCATGCACACAAGACTTCAAAAATAAATATCTGAAAAATAGATAAGCTTTCTATAGACATTTCTGCCATTTAAGACAGAAACGTAGACAAATAAGACATTCTGTGATGCCACCAAGACATTCAAATAGTCTAGCTGTAACAAAAAAAAACAAACCCAAAACCACCTTGGCTTGCTACTGGAATTTCTTTTCCTACTGTCAGTAAATTAGAAACTTCTGTCCCTCCTGAAAAAAATAGATCCCAAAGTAATTTATGTACATGAATTACTCCAAGCCAGGTAGCACACTCCACTCTAGCCAGGGTTAAAGACAAGACTGGATAAAAGCCACCACAAGCTTTACTTTAGCAGGTTCTACTCTACTATTGCCAAGCTTAAGGCCTTGATTTACTTCTTCAGAAAACAATAAAGAAAAATACAACCACACCCACAGCCTAGTTCTGCTTATGAAGACAAACAATCTCATAAATGCTTACAATTTAATAATATGGGGAGAGAACTAATAGGTCTTAAGAAAAAGACATTTTAAATAGGTGGCATTTTTTTAGAACCCTTTTAATATCAGGGATCATCTACTGATTGTGTGCTTAGAACAGAAATATCACCTCATGATTTCTAACATATTTGGTGAGGCATATCCCATTTGAAGTGGCAACACCACATTTATTGTGATCAACTCACTATATCCAACAGAAAAATTAAAACTTCATTTGCTCAGTATCTTCTCAACCCTTAGTGAAAATCCTGAAGTTTTCTTTTAAAAACAGCATACCGTTAATACAAACAAAAAATACGCAAAAAAATCAAACAAGGAAGATCAATCTCTCCGTCGAAAGCTCAGCTAGTTCATAATCCAATTTAAACAATTAGTCAAAAGAATTTAAGGACTCTCAAAATACACTCAATTTTAATTAAAATAATTTCCTAAGAATATTTCACCTTATTTAATTCTGAAGAACAGTTATGGTATGTTATTCTGCCATCTAATACTTCATCACAACTGCAAAACATCAGCTGGAAGCTAATTATGTTGTACTGAAATAATATTGAAATCTGAGTTTCTAACTAGAGGAAAAGGATAAATTTTCTCATGAATACTGAACATAAAAATACTTTAATCCTATTGCTAATAAATTATTGTAAAAATTGACAATTGATAAAAATAACAAGATTTTAGATTTAAACTATCATATGCAATACTCTGGTCCAACCTGAAATTTAACTATTAAAGATTTAGTCTCCAGTAGCCCCTATTACCCAGATATCCTCACTATCTTAAATGCTTTTGTGTACCTCAACTATAACCTTTCTCAATTTTACCCATCTAAAATTTAACCCTTAAATTTTAACACTTTGGACTCAGAATGACTATGAAATTATAATGAACAAGAAATTCTAAGCTTCAGCTCCCTCTCCCCCATCCCCCTCAAAGAAAAAAGTCTGAAGGAGAAATTACTTCATCTTCAGTCTTTTATAATTTCACAAGCATTTTATCTGTACAGTGATCACCAACATCCTAATTCAAGCATCAACTCACACATCAACACATTTACAAAAGCAAGAACATCTTTCTACTAGAACAATACTCATTTGTAGCCAGAGTAACAAGTGACTTGAGAACCTCTGACGCCAGAGACAAAGTAACCCACATTTCCGTATCTATCACCTACAGGATAACTGTGGAAACACTAGCAATGCCCTGTTGCAAAGTTTCCCCTTGAAATCTCTTCTTCACTAACTAGATGTGAAAATACAGTAATCTCAAGTTCCTTGACTCATCAATACAGCTGTAAACATTATTCTTTCTAGAAAGAATTTATGCAATCAAGTCAAAAGTACACTATTTACCACTGAATTTGTTAAGACAAGTGAACAGAGCTGAATTCATTTAGCTGCACTTAGCTTCACAGCCTCATGCAATTTAGAAACATGAATGAATATATCTACATTCCACCTAAAGGAGCAGAAACATAATTAGCATACATCAAGGAAGAATTTCACATAAAATAGCTATTATAGAGGTTTACCATTTTTGACTAAGAATCTCCATTATATTAATTTTATAGCAACACCATTAACTCTTTTGACCCCACTCCTCAGCTGTATGAAGGCATACAAAACCAGTATTAAGTCAGATATTCAAAAAAAAAAAACAAAACCCCAAACAAATAAAAACAAACAAACAAAAACAAAACAAACAAACAAAAAAAAAAACAAAAAAAAAACCAAAAAAAAACCTACCCAACCTGCTCTCAAAATTCAAATGTTTTGGTAAATTTGGCAAAATGAAATTCCAGAAGACTTACACTTACCAACTTTTTGAACTAAGCAGCAGCAGTTTTCTCAATTACTGGCTTAGAACTTTATTTCAATCTAATGAATCTAATTCTATGATAATAAAATTATTTTATGTTGCTTTTCCTCTAGAAATATACTATTAAAACACTTTGAAATTACATGTCTTAGAAAAACTGCTTCAAAACACGTAGCAGCATGGACTGTGAATGTATAGGAAATCAATTCAGCACAGCTCAATTATTTTAGTTATTTTATTATTTACATAGTAGAACAGTGGGTGACAGAGCACGCATTACCAGATCTTTGGCAGCTTACAGGTATGCTGAAATGCACTGGAAATCAGCTCAGCATACCAAGGTGTAAATAATATGCCTGTTTACAACTTACTCTGACAACTAACTAATCATCATGAGCTTTTTTTCCATTTCAAAAGCAAAAATAATCCAGCAGCTAATGCTGGTATCATTTTACATTCCCACACAGGGTAGTATAAGATTCAAAGTGTGAAATCCTGAGTTCTTAAAGTAAGTAGGGTAAAGATCAGGTCAGCCTCAATACTCATACCTTGGGAAACATTAAGGGCATTGCTCACAATTTAAGCTAGCATTATATAGTCTTTCTACACAACATGTTCAAAAACATTCTATGTATATTCTATATTATATATACATTCTAACAAGCATACAAGGATAAACACTTCTGTTCCAGACAGATTATAACCACTAATAGTGAATAAACATTTTAAAGTCTAGAAACTCAACCACTATATTTAAACTGTGGCAATTTGAGTCCCAATTTACTTAGGCTACAGTAAATTTAAAAGTATTTTCAAATTTTATTTTAAACCCTTATTTTTAAATAGATTTGCTTCTAAACAAGAATTTTGGAATAAATAATATTTCTTTTTCCAGCTGAAAATTCAGTGGCAACTAGCTCCCACAGCGACTTCAGCTAATTGCCTCATGTAGGCAAATTGTTTCACTTAGTATCGTTTTCAGTCTAAATAGCTGCTATAGTAATCTGACTGCAAATTCCTTTCAATAATGCACTTTTCACTCTGAAGGTTACTAGCAGAAGAAGGATGAAGTACCTAAGGTTTTAATGGTTAATCATCCCATTCAACCACCAAATTGTAAAGTCATACAAAAGGGTTTTTTCATTCACCTACAACCTGCATTTTCAAGGACTGATAGGCATAAAGACCACAAAAACCCCCAACACACCTCTTTTATGAAGTTATTTAAAAATCAGCAACAATACCAGGGCAATCCTGCTTGTGCCTTTTTAGCCTAGCAAGCTTGTAAGAGACTCAAAGCCTTAAAGCTAACTTATGACACACAACACCCGCTCTTTTGGACAACTTGACAGCTTCACAACTATTTGTTCCAACTCCCAAAGTAACTAAGTTACACTGGTTGCCATTTCTCCAGTCAGCCACAACAGTTCTATGCTCAGACGACACAAAGCAAATTCACAGCACCAATGAGTTCCACACCGCTCACCAGGGGTCACAGAAAGAGGCACAGCCAGCTTGAGTGATGCTTTCGGAGGCGACGCTTGATCTGATTGAGTCAGAAGTGTATCAAATTATCAAGACACATTATTATTTGGTTAAAAGTCTCAAAACTAAGAATTCACTTTTGTAGGCAAGTGAGCTTAGCAATGAGTTTCAGTATGAATAACATTCATAGATTCTTTCTTCTTCAAAGTGTGCAGGTAAAGCAATTCAAGAGCTATTGTGACCTTTAGATGTGCAAGTATACAATATTACGCATACAGTAAGAGAAAACTGATTTAAGACTATTGTTACCTCAATGCACATATTTTAATATTAATTCCAGAGTCAGAGGTGTTGAAAAACTTATGAAACAGCTGAGGTAGAAACATGACCAAAAAAACCACCAAGTCAGAGACTAAAAATGACATGTTCAGCATGCAACTACTATAAAAAGAAGTATTTAGTAGTACAAAAGCTTCATGCCCAAGAAAGGCTAAAAGTTGAAAATAAATGTAAACTGACATATTTTTAACAGAACACATTACTAATCACTGGGAAAAAAAAAAAAACTAATTTTTCAGATCACAATCACATCTAAAAGTTATGCATTCACAATGCAGTAAATCACAAAATTTAACAGAAATTGTATTGCTCATCCACCATTCATTATATCTCTCAGCAGAGCCTTTTTATTTTCAGAAGTATCAGG